AGTTAAACAACCCTCACCATCAAATATTCTTTTTTTAATGTAAAAATCAATGCCAACAGACAAACACATGAGCATTGAATTTTTCAACTCATCAAAAGTCCAACTAATCCTCCTGGCATTCCATCTACTAACACAGGACTTCACATGCCAAAATCAAATGCATGTATTACAAATTGTATGGCGGCAATACATTGAATCATCAGTCAAGTATTGATTTTTATTTTAAATCTCAGTGTGTTTACGAAACGAAAGAAAGAATTGTAACAGCAAAATTGTAAGTGCTTCTGTTTCACTTTTCAAAATAACCATATTCTTAAGTTACCCGCGGCGCCCCCGCCGCGGTTTTTCACTAGTAATATTGTAAAGGCCAAGATGATATCGCAAAACAGTTGTAACTTGGAGGAGGCAAAACACTATGGGCCTGCCAGAGCACAGAGAAAGCAGAAGGTGAACGAGGTAAGGCAAATTAAGATTGTTATGGCAGAGTGGGGGAAACAGCTTAGCTGCCGTATCAGCTTATATATACACATGGCCTTCCTTGTGATGGTTTGACTTAGAGGCAATTGGGTGATTCTGAATCTCCCTGTAAGACTCGAACCGCCCTACTGGTTCTGTTCTCCTACTTTGGGTGTTGCACACGCAAGAATGAATCGTCCCGCATGATAATCCATCGGAAACATGACAATGAAAAAAAGAAAAGAAAAAAACTTTTGTAAGTGCATACTCACCTTTTGGGATTGACTTTGCTGCTTGGCCGGCGGGTGGGTGCACCTTGGAGGTGATGAGTCGCCGGTACAAGGACCCGCTTGCTGGGCTGGATTCAACCTGGCAGGCGGCTTTTACCTGGAGTTTTGTCAATTAAAACCTTCGGCTTCAAGCCGAAGATAATGGTGTCATTATCATTGGCTTGCTGGGCTGGATTCAACTGGCACAGGTGTTTACCTGCTAGCCAAGGAATCTTACTCCTTGGTGATCACCTTGTACAGGTTCACCGAGGGTCCCTTGAGAAATCCCCGATGGAAGAAAGCATGCGAAGAGGTGTCCAGTTGGACTTCTTTGCCAGCCAGCACCTCCTTGGTGATCCTTTACATGCTCGCCGAGGAAGATTCCTCCTCAGCGGGCAGTTACACGGTGTAGTAGTACCCATTCACCCAGCAGGCCCTCTCCTCGGTGAGCAGGATGTTCAAGTAATATCAGGGGAGAGCTCCTCCCCAGCAAGTAGGCAATGGCCATGGAGGAGTCCGCCTCGGCAATGGGTGTTTGCCAAGAACTAGTTCTCCTCGGTGAGCAGGTACATCCACAAGGTGATTGATTTTAGATTGACCCTTAAAATTTCCAAAAGCATCCATTTCATTTCAGAGTATGGGTGCTTGGGTCAATCTTTACTCAAAACGACAATCATGTAGGACGTTTCAATTCCCGATATTTCATCCCTCCTGATTGGGAATTATGATTTGCGTTAGAATTATACATTTGTAAGCTACTTGTTGCTTCCAGGTTTGCCGCCTCGTGTCCAATGGACACTCTCTGCCCTGCAAGTTCTGGACAGCTCAGATACTGTCCAGAAGTGTGTCCATGGGACATCAGAATGGCCCCGTGGTGTACTCACTTGAATGAATTGATCCAAAGATCAATTAGCCTGCGACTTGATCAAACCGAATGAGGTCGGATGTCGCATCAACTCGATAGCTGTCGCATTCGATTGCGAGATTCTGCCAAAAATCGTCTATCTGAAGACCAGATCTGAGCCCGGTCGAAGCGCAAAGAGATAATGAGCTGAGATCTACAATAATTGACAGGAGAAAGAGAAATGGGGAGACACTTGGAATCGGGGCAAGAGGCGAGATCCTAGAAAGAAACTGATAACCAAATACGTATGTACTGACACAGACAAACATGGAGGATTGTGCAAGCTCAACTCAAATCATGTAACCCTTTTCAAAGTATTCTGAAACTACATGGACGTGGCTGGGGACCAGCTTGTGTACTCAAAAGATACGAGCATCAAGGCTCTCAACAATCATGAGGGCAACATGCCTTACTGATCGGACGGCTTATTGGTGAGATGCTTCAACAACAAGAGCGAGAGGAGGGGTGAGACAGAGGATCCATTAAGCCTTCCTCCATTAAACCTTCCAGTTGAGAGGCAGATGATCCGATGGTACGCAGGGGCAAAATGCAACTTAATCAAGTCTTGACAGGAGTGAGGCAAACCCCTGACATACTATCTCGAGCTCTTTCGATGCGCATGTATCATGATGTTCAAGCAGCCTCAGAGTATACATCAATGGGGGTAGGCACGGGGGGCAAGGAAACGCATGTGTTTGTTGTATGTTTTCTTCTTTTTCTTTTCATAAACTCGAAAGGGAAGCAATATGTATTGGATTTATAAGGGTCAAAGAATGAATTTGCAATCGAGGACGCGAGGGCTAGTAGAAAAGTGTAGGGGGTTTGAGAGGTAGGATAGGGTGGAGGAGACAATAGGTTTGTTGAAGATCAGGGCGCTGGGGCTTCAGCTTCGGCTGGTGCTGCTGCTTCGGGGGCAGCAGCAGCAGCCTCGGCCGGGGCGGCTTCAGCCGGTTTTTCCTCCGCTGTGAACGAAGGGGAATAAGAATGCGTCAGAAGATGGTTGAGTGAATGGGAAATGTTATATTCTGATAATCGAACCACTAACCATCATGAAGATCGGAAGTCCAGAGTGTAAGGTTGTCTCTCAAGAGTTGCATTATCAGGGTCGAATCCTTGTAGCTCTCTTCACTCAGTGTGTCTAATTCAGCGATCGCATCATCAAAGGCTTGTTTGGCGAGATGACATGCCCGATCAGGAGAGTTAAGAATTTCGTAGTAGAAAACTGAGAAATTCAGAGCCAAGCCAAGACGGATAGGGTGGGTGGGGGTCAAGTCCGATTGGGCGATTTCGGTTGCTTGCTTGTAAGATTCATGGGCAGCATCCGAGGCCACCTTTCGGCCATCCCCGGAGGCAAATTCAGCCAAGTATCGGTGGTAGTCGCCCTGCCTGGAAGACGCGTGAAAGAAAGAGGAGTGCATCGTTAGTCAGCCTGGATCTACGGGAATGGTAAGTAACCAAACATGTGAAAATCTTACATCTTGTGGTAAAAGACTTTGCTCTCTCCTGCTTCAGCACTGGGAATGAGGTGTTGATCGAGGACAGACAAGATGTCATTGCAGACTTCGGCGAGTTCAGCCTCGACCTTTGTACGGTAGTCCTTAATTTTGGTCACATGGACTTCGTTGCCCTTGGTGTCTTCCTTCTGCTCGATCGAGGAGATGATGCGCCAGCTGGCACGGCGGGCACCGATCACGTTCTTGTAGGCAACTGAAAGCAGGTTGCGCTCCTCAACCGTCAGTTCGGCACCGAGCTAAAAGATGATCGGGATCCCGTCAGCCGATCGTTATCAAATCAAGCAATAAATCAAACTCATTGGAACCACTCCGACCTTGGCAACGTCTTTCATAAATGTTACCATCTCGTCGTATCGCTCGGCCTGCTCGGCCAATCTGGAGTAGCAATATAGATCAGTACTTCGTGCCCATGAAGTGGATTAGCCGCAGGCTACTGACTTGGCCATGTAAACTTGATTCTCCCGTTCCTGAAAAACATACAAATGTGAGAAGAAAGTTCGCTAGGGGCCAAGCAGAGGATAGAGCGCGGCATATACAGGGAGATCTAGATGACTCACCGAAGACATTGCTTGGACAGACTGTGATTTGGCAAGCTGGTTGAGTTGATGGTCAAAAAACGGCACTGGGGATCAGGACCTGAATAATTAATCCTCGTCATCAGTGATCGGACACGTGTAGGATGTATTAGAACAAAGGGGTTTTCAATGCCACCACTTCGTCGAGATAGCCCTGTCCTGGTTCAGAGGCATTCTTCTCCAACCCAAGCCATGCAGGGCCGAAGGTTACAGTCATCCTGAGTGGAGGCTTATCGATCGCTCCCTCTTGGATTCTAGAGATTCTATGATGGCGAGGGAGTGTTGGGAGAAGGGAAAGGCTTTTCTTGGGTCTGATTTTTACTTACCGGTATGGATGAGGGTGTTCGTTGGTTGTGTTTGATAGGTTGTATTGGTGTTGGTTGGTAGGATGTTGGGGTTGAAAGGGTGGAGGGTGAAGTTGGTCAACAAGCTCTCGTTCAAGTACCGCCCCAACTCTGGCTTACTCTATCCCAAGCCCGCACAGACATCTGGCTAGCCCCCTTGCGCACGGACCTCCGCCCAGCCTGACGACCGCTGCGGAAGACTTATCAAGAGCCGCAGCCAGCCCCATCTGCACTGCCACCGAGCAACTCCTGGTGTCTTGTTGGAGCCACATGGCCATCATCCAACTCGAAAAAAAAGAAAAAATCGAATACACATACATACAGTTCAGGACTCCTGGAACGATACTTGCTGCCCTTCTCCGGTCCTCGTTGCATGGGAACCATTCCCCTTCTCCATCAATTCGATTCAATCCTCATCGACGAGGTTACAACCTGGCTGAAACAGCGTTCAATCGAAGATGAGGACAGAACATTCTTCAATCAATTCAATCAGTTAACCGTTGAGTTGTACTTGATGTCTAAGTTGCACTACATATCTACGTATGTGTCATCATCCTGCCTACATACCCAAATCTGGGCTGTGTAGATTGTCAAGGAGGCCCAGAGAAAGATGTTTCTTTGTTGCCTGAAACTATGGCTTATCTCTCTCAAAGCTTGACATATCATAGCCTCTTTTTGAGTGAGATGTGCATCATCCTTATCCCCTTTTAAAACCTATCTATCAAAACCTCAAACTTTTCCAATTGTACTAATTCAAGTTGAGCATTCATGAGGAAACATGTTTTCTTCAGAATCTTTAGAGTGGAGATTTATATACCCAGGTATTCACAATCTAAACAAACTCATGCATTGAAGTTTTCTCAAAATATTGGGGTGCAGTGTGACTGGGCAGAATATCATTTTTTTCACAAACTATATGCTCTAGAAGTTTACAGTAGGGGGGTTCACAATAGAAATTCATGAAGTTTTTATTGCCAGTTTTAAGGTCATTACCAACAAAATTTTAAAGTTTTGATAACATGTGCAGATTTTGGGGTTTCTGAACAATCAGAACAACTTTTTCACTTTTCAAAAAGTGGTTGACAAACACCATAAAATGGGCTTTAAAGATTTTGTAAATTTCTATTGTGAACCCCCCTAGTAGGTAGGCCTAGGCATGTTAATATCAGATAATTCTCACTCCAATTCACACCAGAGGACTTCTGCTCAAAATTTGTGGGTCCCCCAGCTTTGATTGGCAGCCTTGAAAGCTAGATTTCCCTGTAAGAATCTAGACTTTTCAGGTCTAAATGAAAAAAAAAAAAAAACTGAAAGGGCCCCAGATGAAAAGGGAAGTTATCCACTCTCTCTTCAAATCATAATTGTCAATTTTTCATCAATCTCAAGATTAACAGTCATGTTTGATAATTGATTTGGTTCTTCAATTATGATTGAATTGATTGTAATTGTTTCTCAATGAGTCTTAAACATTTCCCTTTTGAAAAAAATTAAAACTTTTAGGAAAGAAATGTAACTTTACAAGCATTGATTTGTTTTTCTTGATTTCATCCTTTCTAATATACTTTTACAATATCAAGAGATGATTGAAATGAAAACTTGTTGATGAAGGTAAAGAACACTTTTCATTTGAATAGACAAACTCTCCCTCTTTATGTTTGTTGATTTCTTTCTATGTAATTCCTCACATCTTATCATTGATTCCACCCAATTAATCCCACCTTCATAAGTCTTATTTCACAATTAAGAAGGTGCTATCGATTAGGCACATGCTTCAGGCCCTGTTTGGAGGGCCCGTTATATGTGATAAATTGTCACATTTATAATGTGCAACCCCTGTGGGTTCTGGCAACGCTGCCACAGATACGATACACTGTGTGTATCATGGAGAATTCTGCAAAGCTGCATGGCCAAAAACCAAATTTGTTGAATCTCCTTGCAAATAAAAGCAGATTGGTCAGATAGTTTTTTTATTGGGGCTCAGATACATAGTGATACATGGCAGATACGTGGCAGATACCGTATCTGTTTCAGTGTTGGTTCTGGATGTTTTGTAGAGTTTGGGTATAGTAACAGGAGGCCTATCTAGGATGTATAAAGGGCTGTCCAAACAGGGATTTAATTGATGTGATGTCTTATGGTAGATCTAGATTCCAGTGCAGTGCAGATTGAGGAATTGTGGATTGTTGATTGCTGATGTGGTTTTGAAGGGTATTTAATTAGTAGAGATAGGTGTTAGAGGAAGATCAGACATACCATAAAAGTAGGAATCCATGGTGGAAATATTGATCAAAAAGAATAGTCAACAGGACATTTAAATTCTACTGCATGTATCTAATTTCTGAGAAGGATTCCTCCTTGGTGGTTAGCTACTGACTGTACTCACTGTCCAAGGAAGGATATTCCCTGATGGGCAGGCAAAATGAACCAATTCATTTGTACCAAGTCTTTAAAGAAGATCATTGCTTGTATGGGATAGACCATCTGGAAAGGTGATCTGGTTCCCATTTGTGTATTTTTGCTGACTGGAAACACTTTCAGTGTACACTAAATTGCATGATGTATTATGATTACTTCTATGTGATTTGAACTGTATGCCTTTGTTGTTGTGACTCCTTATAATCCACATGTTAACCCTTACTCTCTTATTCAATAGACTTGGCTTCAACAAGTTAAAAATGACATCATCATCTCAAACCCAATATCATATTACTCATCACTCAATCTCTTCTCTCCTCTTGTGAGCCTGAGTCTCTATAGTGACAGCAGGACACAAGGTTTTTGGGGGGCACTTTTAAATGTATTTCTCAAGATAAAGGAAATACAAGTAAAAGTAGAGGAGAGGGAAAGAAGAGAAGGAAAAGAATAGAATAATATTTTTGTTCTTTGTTTATTTTATGAAGAAGATTAAATTATGGCAGTCTTACTGTCCCTCTTGGATGGCTGCAGACAGTCTTACTTTCCTTAGTAGGATGGCTGTTATAAGCGGAGCTAACTCTGACGCCTCCAAATCAACAGAAACTGAAATGGGTTATTGACACTGATGAATCAGGTCAACCACAATTTTGTAGATCAAGGATCAAGGCTCTTTAAAGGGAAACCTATGTAGTTTTCAGTTATACTACCAAACAGGAAGAGTCGAGATAATAGAAGCTGGAGCTTGCTTTCTTTGATCAGGGCTTTGGTTTGAAGAGGAGTGAATAGAAACTGAGAGAGACAGAGAAGAGAAACAAGCAGAAAGATGCTAGCTTAAATTATGAGAAATGACTTACTAATGATACCAATGACACTGAGTAGTGGGAAAGGTAGGAAAAGTGAGGTCCTTCTGGTTGATAAGTGTTTGCTTGATCTGGGTCTGGTTGTTGGTGTTCTGTGTTGGTCTGGAGTCTGAAAATCCTCTGGAAGCGGAATCAACAAGCTCAGAGAGGATTTTCAAAGTTGGATTATGTAATCTGGCATGTACATGTGGTAGAGAGAGCTGAAACCTAAAGGTTGGAATAATTCTTGGAGTACTGTGAATTGTTACAAATTCAATGAAGGGATGGAGTTGGGTAAAAGTGATCAGTGGTGACTAGGGTTAATTTTACACCAGGAATCCATTTCTGAAGTCAAAAGGGTTAAAAGTCTTAAGATAAAAAAGATAAGATAATATTTGTAGTAGAAATGGGCAGTTTTGGCAGTCTTTTGGCCAGCTTGGCTGGCTCTAAGGCTGACACCTCTTCTCTCCTCATTTTTCCTCATCTTTCATAATCATCAGCTCCTTATCTCTCTCTCTTTGTGCTTATTCATCACCCACTTCCCTTCAAATTCAATCTAGTGTCTCCACCCCTACACTTAGTCTTAACCTTCCATCTTGACCCTCCTTTGCAATGTTCTCATCTTCAATTCCTTCCCCTTTGGCTTTGTCAAAATATCACGTCACTCTCATCAAATGATTCAAACTGAAATTTCATTGCCATTAAGACTTTGTTGAGCTGCTCTATCATCTATTGGATCACTTATTCTGATTCCAGCCTGGTGAGAAAAATCAATCCTTCATTCTCAGAACATGCTATGCAATCCACTAATCTTTCTTGTTCCTGCCTCTCTCAGTGCAATGCCTGTTTCCAAGATATTATTCTGCTGTTATCAATACTCTTCTTGATTAACTCTTCCTTCTTTTTTTTCAGATATTATTTTCTTTTGTTTTCTCAAGTTGGGGTGTGTTGCTAGTAGTTCACTTTTCAAGCTTTCTCATTTGTTCAAGGCAAAGCTCCAGAGCAAAAAGAAGAATGATTCAAGTACTATGAATGATTAAGTCTTCTGATAGAACCAGTGAGATTGATGGTGTCCTGAGGCTTTTTCATTGCACCAGAGGAGGCTGTTAGGTCTAGCCAAAGAATTATGCAGCCGTTTGAACAGAGATGCCATGGAATGTTTTTAGTTACTCGATATGCTACCAGAGCTGAGTACAGTCAAACTCATCTAAGGGCCTACCCCTTGGGAGAAGGAATTTTGTATGCTATTTAGCAGGTTATGCCCTTAGAGGTAGCAAGTTGGTTGCAAAATCAGGATTTGGGAGAAGTCCTTCATTATGCCTTTAGACTGGCTATGCACACAGGAGGGTACATCCCTAGACAGGTTTGACTGTATCTTCTTGTCTGCACTAGGGCTTTATTGAACAAGGTTCTTACCACAGGTACTCATCCAATCTTCATACAGAACTGCACTTGACTTGGCATCCTTAGCTCAGCACTGACTTCACAATCACCATGAGACTCATATCCAAACACACAATTCCTTACTTTACCAAGGTATACTAAATGATGAATTAGGAGGGGTTTAAAGTTTCTGGATTTCCCAGTTAGCCTGAGTTGGGTGGGTAGATGACTCCCAAAAAAAATCCACAAGAAAGAATTAAATCTGAGATTAGTAGGACAAGTCACAATGCCAACTTGAGGGGGGTTGATAAGTGCACGCCAACCCCCATGGCGCACGCCAATCTGCACGCCAAGCGCAGATTGGCGTGCGCCCCTGCACGCCAATCTGCTGCAGGGTAGATTGGCCTGCAGTTGGCGTGGAGGGCTGCACGCCAAACTGGGTCCTAAACCCATATGTATATGGGTTTAGGACCGGGGTTATCCCTCAGGACCCAGGGATGGGTCCTAGGGGAAAGCCCAGA